TGGTCATAGTGATAAATTATCACTTTAGTAGTTATGGTGTTCAACTAATCCGTGCATAAATTGAAAATTTGAAAATTTTATATTGCTATTAATGCTTTCTATTAATTTTGAAATGTACATAACGGATATAAAAGTATAGAATGAAGTTATGATTCATTATCTAAGTCATGTGTAATTATTATGTAAAGCAATAATTAATTCCGTAAGGCTATTGTTTTACAAAGGTACCTATTCAATCTTTGTTATAATTAATATGGTTAATATTTATAATAAATAACGCTTATGTTTTTAAAAAATAATCTTGTCTTGCTTTTTATATTTATCCATTGTTCATTAGGTACATGTATAAATGTCAGATGGAACATTGTATGTGTATTATGATGAGCCCATGCAGACTTAATTTTTAGACCACATCCTTTTTATTTCAACTCTTCTTTCCATAAATCTCAGTTTTCCGTTTTATATTGATCTATTTATTTTCACCAAGTACTATTTAATAATATGAAACAATCTAAATAATTATAACAAAATATGAAATCTATTCACAAAATTTACTTAGAAATTCTTATCAGATAAGTTGTACATTTACAAATACTTGATTCACATTTGTTTTTTTTAAATTACAGTTTTTTGTTTGTAACTATAAGAGCCTTTGATACTATATTTCTATCATGTTTAATGATATTCTTATTCTTTGCCGTATGTTTACTTAACTTTTAATTATTTTTCAATAGATGAAACAACATTTTCTGATTTATGGGTCTTTTTCCGTTTACTTAGATTTTTGTTTTCCTTATCCTTTTTTAAATATTTATTTTTTTTATTTATCAAATTGTCTTCTTTTTTTTCATTATTATTGGTAATATATTTTCTGCAATAAAAATAAGGTTCATATTTTTGAAGAGATTATTTGTTTACCTACATTGAACATTTTAATGTTAAAGGATTATACCTTGGTGTTCTTTTATCATATCTACGTTTAAATGTTGCTATGGTAGATATTTTTTCTCTAGCAGGAGCTTTTTGCTCAAGTTTCCGTTTTTCCTTTTTACTATGTTTCTTTATACTTAACATGTAGTTTGGAACATTGCATCCAGATGCTCGTATTATAGCAGCTATACTGAAATATTAATACAACAGAATCTATAGGTATTCTGTTAATTCCAAAGATTTATGCTTACCTTCGTAAGTTTGGAGTATCTTGCTCAGTGAAAAAAGTAATTGCTTTTCCCTTATGCCCAGCTCTACCAGTACGACCTATTAGTATTTAAAGAAATATGTTGATTAAAACGTTTAAATACATGCAACTACATTAAATTTGGTATGGTACGTACCAATTCTATGAACATAAGAAATAGCAGATGGTGGAAAATCATAATTAATGACAATATTTACACCTTTGAAATCAATACCTCTTGCCATTAATTCCGTACATACTAAAACCCAGATCTTTCCTTCACGAAAACAACGAACGACATTATCTCTCTATAAGGGAAAAAGTATTTATTCCAGTTAACAGATATTCTGTCATATATTAATTTGTACAAAAAGAAATATACCTGCGTTTGTGTTCTATCAGCGTGAATAACATCTACATTAATTCCATCGTATATAAGTTCGTTAAATAATTCTTGAGCTCTTTCTTTACTTTGTACAAATATTAGTACAGGTGGTAATACTCCCTTCATAAAATAAAACGATATAATTCAATAAAATATATGAATTAAAAAATCTTAAAAAGAGAAAACATGAAATTGTTGTACACAATATTACCTTTTGAATAATATTTCTAAGTGCTACAAGTTTTCCTCTCTCTGTTCCAACAAACAGAAGTTCTTGTTCAACCAAATCAGTTGCAGCATTTCTGTAAAAAATAATAATAATGATAAATATAATTATTTATTATAAGCTCTTTTTAAAAGTTACTACAAACCTGTGACCAACAGTAACTGTTATAAGACCTTTTAAATTATGCCGACACCATTTTGTCACTACAGGTGTATTGGTTGCACTGAACATTGCAATGCGTAAATTCTTATTTGTACATGCTTTCAAAATTTCTTCTAATTGATCTTTGAAACTCCGTGTTCCATCTTCAAAAAGTTTGTCTGCCTCATCTACAACTAGCCATTCAATGCTATGGAAATTGGATTGTACATTTAGTATGATTTATTGAAATGAAATTGACATGAAATTTATGAAGCATGTAAATCATATTTTCATTGCTTACTTGTTTAAAGAAATAGCTGGTGGATCTTGATTTAAAAGAAATGTTATTCTTCTTGGTGTAGTAATTAATATATCTACAAAATAGTATTAAAATGGTATTTAATTACAAATCAATTTTATTAAAACTAAAATTCTGTATACAGTAGATACTAACCAAATTTTTGCGAACTTTTAGGTCCATATTTACTTAATGCTTGACTAACTTTACTTATAATATGTACTTTAAAGTTATAACCTTCGCTAAGGCATAAACATTCCCTGTATGTCTGTTTGGCTAATTCTCTTGTGGGACTTAAAATAATAGCCCTGAACCCCTTTTTTTGTGGTCCACCTAGATGATGGATTATAGGGGACAAAAATGCTGCAGTTTTACCAGATCCTGTTGGTGCACAAGCCAATATTTGTCTACCCTGTTTTCATTATGATTCAAAAAAATCATAAATTTTATATCCTTCTTTAGAATTAATTGTTATTGTATCAAAAGAAATGTTATATGTTACATTTACTTTACTTGCAACATAACAGGCATAGCTTGCATCTGAATTGCTGTGGGATGTACATAACCACGATTCATAATATTATTTATTAAACGTTCAGCAACATGATAAACTTCAGATAATTCCATAAATGTTGATAAAGGTTTAGGTACACGACTGCCTGTAACGCTTATGCGGTGTTCATTACGAAATTGATTAACCTACATAAACAAAATAATGTCTCTGTTTATCTTTAAAGACGTTCAATCTAAAATAATAACAGAACCTCTCCAACCTTTTCCTGTTCCAACTTTAGCTGCTTTTCTATAGTCAAAGATTCTTTATGCTTTTTGGATTTCATTTTAATCCCATCTTTAGAGATAGATATTCCATTAAGTAATATTAATTGATTGGTATTGTTAATTTCCTCCTCCTCTGTATCATGTTTTCGTTTTGTAGATACCACTGAACAGTTTTCATTAGGTATTTCAGTACATTTTTCTTCGTGTTTCGCCACATTTTCAGGCTGTTTTTTAATAAGCTATCGAAACAAAACAAGATTTATGAAACTAAAAACTTTCTTATGTTTGTGCTATGTCCAGAAGTTTAAAATTTTCAATGAGTACCTGAAATCTTTGTGCATCAGCAGAAAAACGTTTCTTATCAAATTTTGCACCAGTAGAAAGTTTTTGAAAAAGTTCATAAGCATCCATTTTTACTTTTCTATTTAATAACCTTCATATAATTTTAATACACGTGCTTGTAATCACTCGGAACCACATTTAATTTTATTTCTTTAACTGTAGAGTATTTCCACTAAACTAGCAGCAAGTACTTACGCATGCGCATTAGAGATTACTTTTCGAAAAGTATTGTACCACATGTACATATCATTTTTGAAAAATATAAAACAATTACGAGATTTTTAAAAAATTTCAATAAATTGATGTTATATATTAACAACTGGTATTTACTATTTACTAATATTTATTGTTTTACGCGTAATAACAAATATGGTGGATATGCTAGTGAAATTCATCAACAAATCTAACTATATAAGCAGACCTTGTTTTAAATATATGTTATCAACCTGTTGCTTTTTTGTTTATAGAAATCGGATGTCAAAGAATCCGTTTAGTTCATTCAGTTATCTTCGTAAAGGATAACACAAGTGGTACCGTATAAAACAAAATATTAATATTTATAATTTAATTTTAACAACCTTAAGATGCAAGCTGGATAAGAAGTAAAATTGCTTTAATGATTTTGTTACCAGCCACAAAGAGCTAGCTTTCTAAATTATAAATTTTTTGTCTTACAGCACAGATTTAAAGTTTGTACTACAGATCTTAAATCTGTGACACGAGTCTTAAGTTTGTAATCAGTCTTAAATAGTACTATATTTTTGTCGTTAGATGACGCTAATACATCTTTCAGACGTTTATTTAATTAAATATTACAGAAATATAACAATTAATTGTTTAACAATCAATTAAATAACGTAGACGCGTAGGACTTGCATTAATCATTCAATAGTTTCAAAATATATTTGTAATTCAATTTCATTTAAGAATTGTTTACCGAAAATAGATAGGAAATATTAGATTACATTCTATGTACCCGTAGCAACCTAAGGTAGTTTTAGCAGCCGTACACGTGGGAATAGCATATCCTATATTAAGACTAACGGCGACGCTGTTATACATTTCACGGATTACTAACCAACATTTATTTATTTATTGTTGATCCGCATTTTTATTTTAATAAGTTCTGTGAGCTTAATATAAAATAGTGTAGAAAATGGTGGTATTTACTTGTAATCATTGTGGAGAAACATTACAGAAACCAAAAGTTGCCAAACACTACGAATTTCAATGTCGTACAGCACCGTTTTTAACCTGCGTTGACTGCTTCAAAGATTTCCGGTATTTATAAATAAAATAAAAATTTAATACATATTAGATGATAATGCCCTTCCGATCCAGAGAAATATAACGTAACGATTATGTTTAATTATTAATAATATTTTTATATTTATGTATACTACACTTAATTTTATTTCATTATTACCGTTTGTTAAATTATTAGGTTATGAAATGTAGAGTTTTTATAAATAGTTAGTTTTTTCAACAACTTTTATAACTGTAAAATATTTAACTTTGTATTATTAAGTATTTTATTACTTTCAGAGGAGAAGAATATGTAGCTCATACAAAGTGTATAACGGAAGCTGAACGGTATGGAGGAAAAGACTATGTTCCAAAAGTTGGAACAAATAAAGGAGAACGAAAGCAACAAGAATGGATCAATATAGTTAAAACTGTTTTGAATAGTGCAACAAATTTATCACACGCTGAAAGACATTTTTTGAACTCTTTATCAAAGTATGAAAATATTCCAAGAAAAAAAGTTAAATTTTTAAATTTTGTTAAAAATGCTATAGGTCAGAAAGCAAATCCAACTGTAGTTGATAGTGTATGGGACAAATTGGAATCTGTTTACAAAAATAATGTACAAACTACAACATCAAAGCAACAACTGCAAAATGGTAAGCATTACTTTTTACAGTTTTATTACAAATCAGATCAGTCGTTTTGTAAATATTTTATGTTTAATACATCAATAGGTAATGCACATGATAAAGTGGATGACAAAAATGATGTGGGTAAACATCAAGAGAATAATATAGTTGAAAATCAAAATAATGAAAATATATGCAGAGAAACTCAGAATGAAGAACAACAAAATAATAGTAACAATGATACTAATAATGTTAGTAAAAAGAAGAAATCTAAGAAAAGAAAAGCAAATGAAGTGGAGGGTGATCAGTCAGTAGATTCTGAATCAAACAAAAAACTTAATACCATATCTGTAGAAGATCAAGTAGTAGAATCAGTTCCTAAAAAGAAAAGTAAAAGTGTTGTACTTTCTGAGTCTTCAGTTAACCAATGCAACGAAGAACAAACTAATGAGAAACCAACATTTGATTGGAAAGATACTATATTAAACGTTGTACAAAGTAAAGGGGAAATTTCCTTAAAGAAATTACAGAAAAAAGTAATTTCACAATACATGAGCTTTTGTTCAGATGAAGTGACAAATGAGAAAGCAACAGCTAGATTTAATAAAAAATTTAAAAAAGTATCAGGAATATCAATTTCTGATGGAAAAGTAAAGATAGCTTAATTTGAAAAATTTACATTTGCTTTTGACATTTTTTTATATAAAATGTATAATTATTTACGATTATTAATTCCATTTATTATACATAAATTTAGAACATCCAAAATACTAATGAGTAAAAGAAATACTTTAAAATGTATTAGTGATTGTCTGTAATGTATGAAACGTAGAGAATTCGACAAACAATACAGTAGTAATTGTCTGTAATACAAAATTGTTATACAGAATACATTTATTTAAGGAAACAATTTGTAAATAAACGTTTCAAAATGATCACTTTAATTGGTTTTCTGGTATTAAATTTTTCAACATGGAAGATTCATTTGTTGTCATAGGAAGAGTAATTTGAATACTTGTAATTACATTTAAGGTTTCATATTTTATATTAAATATTTGAAAATTTGTCTAAATACCAGACATGATTATTCATAGTGGCTAAAAGACCACCTGTAAGTACTTTGGAATCACTAGGACCAAAATTTATCATTTGTTGGTCGAATAACTGCGTGATAGTGCCACCGAGAGATGTAAGAATCGCAGTGCCTGCACAAATGTCCCATTTTTTAATTGTCGTTATGTGAACATATGCAGTTGCATTTCCACTTATAACTTCTAAGAACTTGTAGCCTAAATAAACATTTAAAAATGCAAATTAATGAGTATTAAGGAACAAGATAAATGATTAAATTAATATTACCTGCACCAGCTGCAGAAATAATATCAACACCATTACCAAATGCAATTTTGGTAACATTATGAACTTGCCCAGCATGTGCTCGTGATACAATTAAGACTGGTGTTCTCTCTTCATCTGCCTATTTTTAAAAATATCATTTAACGTATTTATCTGAATAACTTTTCGGTTGCATTACCTTGGGGAGAACTTGTAAATTTCGGGACACTGCATGATTGGTCCATGACCAAAAGAGACTCGAGTTTTGTTTTGTTTCAAATGGTTTATAAATAACACCTATTATAGGCTTTCCCTTAACAGCAACACATACCATAGTTGTAACATATCGTAATAAATTTTCTGGATTAAACAGAAATTAATAAGTAATAGACGTTGATATTTTTGATCAATAATAAACAATCTAGATTTTATAGTATGAAAACACCTGTAAATTCTTTTGTAGCATCAAGGGGATCAATCCATACTGTTATGTCATTTGCATTCACAGTTTCATCTTGAATTTTATAATCGATTAAGTTATCAACTGAGTCTTTTATGTTGGATACTGTAACTTTATCACAGTCTTTTGATGTTTCTTCTGATATTACTGTTATACCTGGGAATGCCTCTATCAAAGAGTGATACATCGCACAATGTGATCTATAATCTGCTTCTGTTACTAGATCATTTACACCTTTCAGGTTTCAAAATAAAATCATGTTTTATAATTATGAGTATATTATACAAATTTCACTTATGTGTTTCATTTTAGAAATTTATTATTCATGACAATGAGAAAGTATATAAAATAGAATTTTTTTTCTTAAGATATATTAGTGATCTTAACTATTTTAAATAAAATGAGATACTTTTTATTGTTAATCATGCGCACTTAAAGTAATCTTGATCTTCAGCTACTTATAGTTTACGTACATTTGTAATAAATATCATACAATAACAAAATTCTTAAGGTAATAACTGTAAAGTCATGTAATAAAAAAAAATTGGGTTTTAGTATTAACTACATTGTATTCATTATAATTTTTGAGTAATTTATTTTGTGTATCTGCAAGTGTTAATAGATAGCACAAACATTTTACCTTCTTTTGTTTTTCCTTTACTCTCGATTTCAAATTTAACTTGATCGTGAACTGCTATAACTTCAGAACCGCCGAGTTCGGATGCCTTTATCGCAGCGTTAAGAAGCAACTTTAAAGAAACATTTCTGTCACGTACACTTGTATACAAAGTCCGATTTGTGTACAAATACAAAACACTTAATAACAGAATAATTCCACAACAAATCGTTCTCCTTGTACGGACACTCATCCTGATATACATTGTAAAACACTATCCTAAGTTTCCTTGATTTATTTTTTTGACTTAATTCATATGCCAAACATTTTAATTGTCCAATATGCGGCCATTTTTAATGTATTTGTATATATTAATGATACTAGCCTTTGCACTATGTATTTACATGTTTCAATGAATGAAATTTCGCTAGATTCATTCAATGGCGTTGATACTATGAGCGCTATGTTTGAAATAAAAGAATATATACCCTATTGTAAAATAGTTACTATTTTATCAAGGTAATATAAACATAAATTTCTATTTAAATAATTATTGAATGCACATCAATTGTGTTTATTGTTTATACAGTTACAGTTACAGTTATGTATAGTATTATTTGCAAATGTTTGGTATCTCATACAACATATTAAATAATTTTTGTATTATATGTTCCACAAAATTTATTCATTATATGTACTTTAGTGAAATAAATACCGAAAATTTTAATATAGTAAATACAGTATTCAATAATATGTATGTATTTGTTCTAGCCTATAAATAGGTTATTAGTTAAGCACAGACGATATATACATATAAAAATAGTTCAAACATCATGTAAACTTTGCAGTTTAAATTGTCGACTAAATAGGCAGCTTAAGATTTGTGAAATTAAATCATGATAATGGATTGGCTGTCAGATTTATTCATACATTATCGTCGGCACTATTATTAAATTCAGTAAAACAATACATAATAAACAAATTTCATTCAAGTTAAAAAATGTAACGAGCTTAATAATTGTTTAGTTAATACTATCGTCCAAGGAGGTTTCAATAAATTATTTAACACCCTCCACAGTTAAATTATCGAACAAGCTTCCCGTGAATTAAAAAGCTGCCTTAAAGCGTACAGACGTAGCGTCTGCGCATGGATCAGAATTCAAATAAATTTGAAAGAAAACTGTTGTTTCAATTACGTTAATTTCATCGGTTTATATTGACAATATAAGGAATACAGAATCGTACTTTGAAATATGGATTCAGATATAGAACAAATTCACAACATTCTACTCGACGCACATCTTCCTTCGAGTATAAATGATTTGAAAAATCCAACAGAAGAATATGTTGTCAATTTAATCAACACATTTTTGAGAAGATTTTATATTGATGTTGATACTATTGACAAAGTAAGATTATAATACTTGTTTTTTTCTTATTTTACGTGTGTTTACTCATATTCAACATTGAAATTAAGAATTCTGCACAAATTCATATTTCATAAATTCTGTCACAGCCAACGAAGGAACAACAAGTTGTAATGTCATATCTTGAGGATACTGACATAATTAGGCTTATAAATTTACATACTGCGATGGGACAAATATGTGACCGCATATATATAAAAGATTTATCTATCACAGATATCATTAGTCCTGGTATGTATTTTCAAATACAAATTAAAATGTGATTGAATATCGCTAAACTATGCTTTTCAATAATTTTACAAGAATAAAATGATTAGAAAAAGCAATTAAACTACTGTTATTATAAATATGTTACATTGCCTAGGTTCAAAAAGAATACGTAAACAAGCCAAATTTCTTTCAAACTTTGTACTATATGCAACTACTAAAGAGTCTGAAATAGAAGATACAATAAATGAAATGAAAGCTAGAGCAGAAATATCACAAGATATGTTAGAAAAGAAAAATGAATTGACAGGAGCTATAAAAGAAAAAGAATCTTACATAAGAAAGCAATTATCGTTAAAGGATAAAGTAAAATTTTTCATTTACTTAATATAATATATTAACTTCATGTTTCTACATATCATTTTCATTTTTTCAGTATAATGCTGAAATTCAAAAAATACAATTAAAACATGCAAAAAATAAAGAGATATCCATGAAACAAATGGCAGAAATGACTATAGCAGAAGAATATAAACAACAAACAGATGAAGTTTTTGAATCTTATAAAAAAGAAACTTCAAATGTAAGTTGATAAGTAAAAAGAAATCAACATAGAGTAAATTTGTATAAAAGAATCAATTAAGAATTAATATGCAATATCCAAAAATCTATAGATCAAATTTTCGTGCACCAAAAAAGTATTTAAAAAGTAATTTATATGTTATTCTAGTTAAGCAAAACCATAGCAGAATTGCAATCTGAGATTGTAAAATCTCCTGAGAAGTATAATGCGCGTTTGAAAAATTTGGAAGAACAACAAAATGCAAAGATCAAGCAACGTGACATAATGCGGGAAGCATTCCAGGATAAGAAGAATTTATTTGAACAACTAAAAACAGTTCTAGGTTTCATCCAAAAACAACTAGATAAGTTTAACGAAGTAAAAGATGTAGATGAACTGTTAAAGTACTAATTTTGTTATTTGTGTATATATATGTATATTTATATTAGAAGTACAAATATAGAAAAAGATGGAATATTTGTTTTCAGGAAAGTAAGTGCACAAGGAGATAATATTAAAAAGCAGGTTGAAATACTTAGAGCAGATATAAAAGAATTTGAACAAAGATTAGAAACTCAGAAAGATAAAGGAAAAGAGAGTGAAATAGATGATTTCCGTATGCAATATAAAGAACGTCTTACATCTTTCCGAAATATGAACTCACAGTTGTTACGGTATAATGAAATGTGCTATATCAATATTTATATTCTTTGTCAAAGTTATGAAAATTCATTTGAATTGCAGTGAAAAGGAAAATTATGAACAGAAGTTTAAAGAAGAACAAATTCAGCACAACGAAGATTGTTTAAAATTGAAGAAAATGCAAAGTGTTATAAAAAAATTAGAAGAAGAAACTTCAGTGCTTATTAAAAATTATCAGGATATTTATGATAATGAAATATCAAATGTAAGTTGAATAATAAGTATGTATGTAGATATATGAATCCAATTAATATTACATATTATAATTTTTTCTATATTAACAGGAGAAAGCTCTGTGGGAAGATGCAATTAAATGAATAATATAAACGTGTATACTTACCTTCCTTTACATAAGATAGAAACATTCATTGATTATTTTCGTATAATACACAGAATGTAATTTTATTTATTAATATTTTATTAATTTTTTTTATTTAAGTAAAAATTATATAAATAATAAATTGTACAAGCATATAGGTAATGAAGTTTAAGACTGGTTAGTTTTCCATACCTCATTTAATTACATATATTAACAATATTTTTACATAATCAAGTATGTTCATATTTAATTGAGTCTAAGTATCTAAATATTATTTGTATTGAATTGATCAGTAACTCTGAAATATTAATATTTGGAATGATAATAAATACATAATATTGTAACAATGTATGTATACCTTTTATACAAGAAACAATGTAAGTACTTGAACTTTACAAATATTGCCAAATGTTTCAACATTCATGACATTCATTCAACCTGATTATCTTGCTTTTACAGCATGTATTATTTATAGAAGTTAATCTTTTTCAGAATACTTTTTACCTTGTACAATTAATTTTAATTTTTGTATATATAAAAATGAAATTCAAATTATTCGTATACTCTTATTTAATTGTAAGCGGAAACTCACTTCTTGAAAATATCAATTCTCGAGGCTGTATGTACAAAATTGGTTTTACTTCGTAACTCTTATAATTTCAATTATTACAATTCTCTGGGTATCCTCATTAGATAATATTGAATCTGTTAATGGCTTTAACGTTACGAAGTTGACATTTTTTAACGCATTAAAGATTAGAAATTAAAATACCATTTCACTTTTAATACGATTTAAATTGTTTTTTAATTACTTTAACAATCATTATCTAATACAAATTACTAATGAATTCAATTGTGTTTTCTCTGCAATTGTTTTGTATATTATATACATATCGACAACTTTAACAATGTAACAAGCTTTAACAGGTGTAATTACAAACTAAAATAATATACAATATTTATACCGACATATACATGAATTACCATATTATATAATTTGCATACACATACAAGGTGTTTAATACTTCACTTTCTATGAGAACATTAATATTTGCCATTGAACAGTGGTATATACTATTTACATATCAATTTTCGAGGAAACTGTCTATATACGAAAGGTCTAAGCGCACAAACAAATTATTTAGATATTTATACAGAAGGGAAAGATTCTTTGATAGAACAATTCCCAAATGTACACAGAATGTTACATTTCTTACATATTTACCAATATCCACTTCCTTTGCTTTTTGTACAAGTATCTCAACATATCTAATAAACATTTAACTTATTACTTTTACAATACTTTTTAATTTTCTTCCTTGTAAATCTTTAATATTTCTTATAATCTCTGTTATTCCTTGATTCGTTAATTTAAATGCATAATTGTATATGCCTTCTTTTGTTAAATATAATGTAATATACACTCAATTGAATCTTTAAATGTAAGTCATTAATACAACTAATTTAATTAAATTACTCTATATGGCAGTGATACAGAAAACTAAATTCTGAGATTTCTTTTCATTTTTTTTGTTTTAAATAAATTGGTCTATCAGTTTGGTTTCTACCTTGAATATCTGAAAAATTATCAAATAAAATTGTACAGAACTTTGAGATGACATAAAAAAACTATTTGACTCAGATTCATCATAGTTCTAAATAGTATACCAAATAGAAGTATTAGAAAAAAATTTGTCATTTATTTCTTTTCTCCAAAATTTTACAACATATTACATCTGACGTTTGAAGAGAAAATAACTTCAATATGAAATAGAAATGTATATACTTTGTATTTTTAGTAATTAAAGAGAAATAAGAAATAAACAAAATTTTAGTTCGTTTTTCATAAATAGTATATAATATATACCTTTTATA